TAAACTGACCACTCAGATATAAGGAAGTCAGCATCACCCTGTGTTGTCATGGAAACTTTAATGACATCCATCAATGTGTTAACCACAAATGCTGCTGATCATAGGTGGACAAATATATCTTCTCTGCTGCTGCTGCCACATTCTCAGAATAACACTTCCCCTTCAGTTCTCAGGAAAAAATTACTCAAGTTAAAATAAGGAAGCAACAGACATGAGAGGAGAAACATTTCAGTTCGTTTCAGTAAGATTACTTTTTCAGAACGTGCGAACATCAGGAGAATAATTCAGGTGAGTTTACTCTTCACTCTTCATCACTTCTAAAAACAACAAAAAGTTTTTTCATCGTCTCTTTCCTCAGTTCCTTTGCTGATCAAAGTTATGCTTCCTGGATTTAATGTTTGAGTAAAAATTAATGATTAAAATACCTCAGATATAAAAGTTGTTTTTCAATTTTTCTCTTATTGTCATCACCAAATTTCTGAGTTTATAAACATCAATATCTGGAGCTAATTTAACAAGTATAAACGGTTAAACACACAGGACACAGTCACTGACAGGAAATGATGTCACTGAAAAATGCAAATGAGTTTATTTTAAAAGGAAACGACATCAGAGACTGAATCATTTGTGAAAATAACAGCAGCAGTAAAGCACCATGGCTGCTTTCAGGTGGATTAAAAGGATATTAATTGTGATGCTGATGCTTCAATTCATAGGTAAGGATCAAAATTACAAGTTCTCACTGAAACAACTAAGTTTTATAGTTTTAGCTGGTAGTCATTACATGTCAGTGTTTCCACATTTTGTTGACATTTTATTTTGCATTTTAACAGCACAAACTGAGACACAGCCAACCTTCCTTACTGTCAGAGGTGGAAATGAAGTCACTTTGCCTTGTGGAGACAGGAGAGACACACATGATGAATCTGATGAAACTATTTGGGTCTTCAATGATAGACAGAAAACTGAAACAAGAGAACTGGTCAAACTTGGAAATTATCACAGAGAAATGAAAACTATATCAGACAGACTGAGTGTTACAGCAAACGGTTCTCTGCATCTACGTGACGTCAGAGAGGATGATGTTGGCCAGTACGTCTGCCAATGGACCAAATCAGGACAACTACATCGCTTTGTTGTGTTTCTATCTGTAACTAAAAGTGAGTATTTACATCATGTAAAAACTAAATTTGTAATTTTACATTTATATTACAGTAATAATGTAGTGATTAAGTCAATACAATATCTTTTCTGTAATTTCTCTATTGTCACCAGTTACTGAGCAGGAGAACCCAGATAAAGTTACTTTGTTCTGCTCTGTGTTGGAATATAATGACTGTGTCCATGAGGTGAAGTGGCTTTATGAGGGGAAAGAGGAAAAACCCTCAGATATGGAAATATCCCCACATTCCTGCTCTGCCACTGTGACATTTCCAACATCCCACCTTCATCAGAAATTAGACATTTATCAGTCACTAACATGTAAAGTCACAAACTCAGTCACTAAATCAGTTCAGCTGTTCCCTGTCAGTCCTCAGTCCTCAGGTAAGAAAACATTTGTATTCATGAAATATTTAAAATCATCTATAACAATCTGCTCTGGTACAAATTCAACATATTGACTGATACTACAAATATAAATTTTTGAAAGCTGCAGTTTAGTGACTTGATGCAATCTGCTGGGTTCTTACTTTTTTTTTAACTTGAATTGTTGACCATACTGCAATGTTTGAAAACTAGGATCAGTAAGAATGTATGTGAGATTTCACTTTTTAAATCTCTTTTAACTGAGTTTCTGTTTTTCTGTTACTTTCACTCAACTTGTTTTCTGTTTGCTGTTCAATATCTTATTTATTTTATTTTATTTTTTTCTTATATTGTGTTTTGTGTAAACTATGAAGTACTTTGGTCAACTGCTGTTTTAAATATACAATACAAATAAATTTCACATTGACATTGAATTTAAATTATTATTTGTAAAACACCTTGATACCATATTTGCTGTGAATTGGTGCTGTATACATAAACTGAACTGAAGTGAATACAGCATCATTAAGCTAAATTTATCCTCATGTTAAAGCTTTTTATGTTTTTTTATTTCTGAAGAAGAAAATCAAACAAAAACAACTAAAGGAGATAAAACAACCAACTCAGCAGATTTTCCACCAGCAAGTAAGTTGCCATCATTTAAACCAATGCAATGACCTTCTGTCTCATCAGTAACTTTCATATTGTACCTTGAGACTGATTAGCTGTGTGTTCACTTTCTGAGTAACAACATTGTTTTTATTATAATTAATGATCTTCTTAGGTTTTCCATGGTGGTATATTATTGTTCCACTCTGCTTAGCAATGGTTTTAATGGCTGTCCTGGTGATCATCAGGTGGAACAGAAATAAAGGTGAGATCATTCAGAGGTTATTTCCAAACTATTACATGAAAAGCCTAGAAATTATATTCACAGTTCAATTTTCATGTTTTATGTCTTTAGCTACAAGCAGTAGAGCGTTAGCATTAGCAACAGTAGATAGAGACTTGATGGAAAAATGGTCTGAGTATGTAAAATGTGTTTAAATAAGTTTTTTTTAAATACATTCATTATTTAAGCAATTTTCATCTTGATAGTCATGTTTAGAAAATACTCACCATTGTGAACATAGAAGTCAATTTCTGTGTCGTTTCAGGAAATAAAACACAAACTGAAGACATCATGGTGAGTTTCAACCTTTACACATTAAATATAGTTTAGGTTTGATGATGATGTGTATTTTCCTGTGGACTGGAAAGAGTCTAACAGAGATAAGAAGTACTGCTACAATGTGTTTCATCAAATGTTGAAACAAGATCAAGAGTTGAACACGAAGGAGTCACGGTCACAAGAAAACAAACAGACCTGAGGTTTTATTCGCCACAGGGTTGTTTTAAAACAGGCCGATGATAAAATCTTAGTGACTCTTGACACTATTTATTTTATTTCAGGTCAGAGTCCAAACAGTTTTAAAGCATAGTGACTTTAAATATGTAAAATAAGATGTTTACTGTCTAAATTTGTTGATCTAAGGTTCCCCAAAATAAAGCGGCAACGAAGCAGGACCTGAACCTGGAGACTTCAGTGGGTCCAGAAACCAGTCAGAACACAGTAGGCTCACACACCACACATACACACACACACACACACACACACACACACACACACACACACCTTTGCATTTCTTCCCGTATCAGGACATTTGGTGACTTGCATTCATTTAAGTCATTGCTTTTAATGCTAACTATAAGCATTACCTGTTCATTCTTAACCTCGCCACTTAATACCAGTAAACCTAAAAATGAGGATCTGCTGCTACCATCAGGCTTTGGTCCTAATGAGGCCCATTGGTTGTCAAAAGATTATTGAACATAAAATATTCTAAATAAATAGCCTCACAAGTACAAAGACATGTCCAACAGTAAATACACACTGCTGTGTTTGGTATTGTTTGTTGATTCTTGTGTTTGTGTTTAGTTTTAATAGAAACCACAGTGACTGATCAATGAAACTTTATTTTCAAATCCTGTCTGCTTTAATTAGGTCAAATGTTAATCAGTTTTTCTTCTCTGTACAGATTGAGCCAGAGGACGGTCTGTCTTATGCCTCCATAAACTTCAAGAAATCCAAAAAGAAAACAGGCAATGTGAGTTTTTCAGTGCATTAAAGAACCTGCAGATATTTAAATTGTATTTAAATAAATTAATTTTTGTTCTTTTAGTAAAATAATTTAACACAGACTCCCTTTCTGGAGGAAAATTGTCATAAACGTGTTTCAATGTGATGTGAAATTGGATTGTTATGATTTTTATACATCCTATATATCACAATGAATGTGATTTTTCCTTCCAGGTCCTTGAAACTGTGATCTACAGCGCTGTGGGAACTTCTTCCTCTTCTGCTGGAGTTTCCTCTGATACAGACTGTCTTTATTCTGCAGTCAACAAGAAATAGAAAAAGCATTAAAAGCTTTACAGCTTGAGCAAAGACACAAAGTACTAAGGCTGCATCTTCAGTGCAGCGGGTCTCAACTCCTGGCCCAATAATCTGCTGTATATTCTCCTCTTCTCTCTGTCCAGCAAAGCAATGGTTAAAAACACAGAAGGACAAAGTCAAGTCAAAACTAATATTTTGACTTGATTTCTATATTTTTGTTATTTTTTTATGTTTTTGCTTTTGCTGCAGATTATAGACAGGTCAGAATATAACTTTAATATCTTTTTACACCCAAGTGTGCCCTGTAAATACTGCCCCTAGAGGTGAAACAAGGTATAAACTGTCTCTAACATACCAGGATTTCATGGTCTTTGTCACAGATTTAAACTAAATGATGCGTTGGCTTGCTCTCCAGAGTAGATTTGTCGCTCTCTACAAGAAGATTTTGAAGGTTATAACTATCAATGCTTTCCTAGCCTGGGTAGTGTGAGAAAATCTGACTGCCCATATAGACCAAAATTAGATTAAGTATGTTACTGCTTGCCATATAACAGTGAAACACAAAGTGAATAGGTCAGAGCAGCTGGAGTCATAACATGAATAAGCCAGAGTCATCGGACGGTTCAGTTCTGAAAAGTGACGTGTCCAGTTTGTAGCTCATCCTGCATGACGCATAGAGACGCATTCAGGGTGTTGATCATCTGTCATCTGACTCTTATTTTTGCTTTTAAAGGAAACTTTCAGAGTTAAAATAGGGAACCAACAGACCTCAGATCAGTCAAACATTGTCTCTGTGTTTTATACAGCAGTTTATCAGTATGTAACATTGTAATCTGAGGTAATAATAAGTCTTCATTGTACTTTCCACATCTGTTAACAAATAATATAATGGAGAAACACATCTGGGGAGTCTTCACAGTCAGTTCCTCAGTTTTATCCTCAATGGAAATGTGTTCCTCCCTGCTGGTCTTGAGAAATCATGAAACAAAAATAGCAAAATGTGTCTCAGTGGCCATGACGGGTGAAACCAGGAAGTAGTGACGGCTCATCATTGCTTCATGACTCAAAGCTTCATTCACTGCTCACTAGTGGCATCTGGTGGTAGAATGAAACTGTGACAGCTTGTCACTGTAATAAACCACTTTAACTGTATTAGACCAAAGCAGTGTATTGAATGTTGCCACAAAGTTTTTGTCCAGACAGTAAGGTCTATTCAACCATATTTTACTGTCATTTCTTTTTAGTTTTTAAAATGTTTTATGCTCAAAGTAATTTTGCTGATATGTTGACAGTCAGTTGTGGTTGTGCTTTTTGTCAATAAAGAATTTGGTGTTTTATCATCTTGGGTCTGAAGTTCATTCTGATGTTGGGACATGAAGGCCGAGTTTTGTTTCAAAGAGGAACTTATTTCTGACAAACCACACGACCTCTGCTGCATTAGCACAAACTACACAGCTCTCAGAAACTAACACCTATCTACACATCACTACTAAGTGGTTAAAGGAGTTATTTCAATAAAATAAAGGTAACATAACTCTAATCAAGAAACAAAGCATAAACCAGTGGAGTGGTGCATGTTTTATGTGCTGCAGAGCTCAGTCAAACTTAAACATGTCCTGCTTTCCCATGAGTAATGCAGCCAGTAGAAACTAACACTTCAGCACCCACAGCCAGACAGCTACGATGTTTCATGTGACATCATACCATAGCAACCACATGGTCAGCCATTTTTTTTTCTGTGGTGCATTGAATCTAAATGCATCCATTCTCTGAAACGGATCTGGTGGGTTTGTTGCCAGAATGACGTTTTATTGAAACTGAAACATCAAAATGTTTTTAATTCATCCTTTCAGTACCAGAGGTGAGAAAACATAAAAGGAGGTCAGAGTGAGGTAGTGAGCTCTCACAACCCACACAAACTGCATCAGAGTTTATATTTCAAAATGTTTGAGCCTGAGTCATTTACGATCAGGACTACAAGAGAAGACGGACAGAAGCAGAATGCTTCCATACGGATGGATTAAAATGTTTTTACTCCTGATGATGCTGCAGTTGACAGGTAGGACCAGATCTAACACAAATACATAAAAAACATAAGTGGTTTAGTGCATTTACAGCTCAGGGCGATCCTTCAGAAAATACTAAGCCAATAAATAATTTTGCATGTCTCCTTTATGCACCATGCTGCTAAACTTATTGCAAAGACACAATTTACTCATATTGTAGTTCTAACAATATTGATCAGCTTCGACAAAACACAACTCTGCAGAACAAAACTAGATAAAGTTAGATGCACACAGGAGTTTTACTGAGTTGGCTGGTTGAAAACAAATCTCAGTGGTTGAGGGAAAACCTAGCAGAACTAAACCACAAGTAAGAAGTATTTATGGAAATGTAAAGTTTCCTGACATCATGAAACTAAACCCAGACTGTCTGTCCTTCA